ATGGGATGGCTTGCCTTCAGAAGTTATGGGTGCTCCCATCTTGTACTTGTACTACTTGTACTTGACGCCTCTTCACCCATCGTGGGTATAGGCGACTTCCATGGAAATTTGACGCCACTGTTTTACGGCGATCCATGGAAGCTGTTTCGGCTGGATATACCCAAGGGGACGCCAGTCCCAAGGGTCGACAGAGCCCGATTGGTGGGAACGGGGGGCACCACGTGAAGGCCGGGTTGTCGTTTGATAGTTGAGAGGCTTTGCAATAAGCGTTGCAATGTATATTTTGCGCATCAACTATCCTTGCCCGCCCGCTCCCATCACTGGAGTCACCTCGGCTTTAAGTCATTAAGAGTAATGATCTTTTTGCCATTCTTGCTCAATAGTCCAAAACTGCTGTCAGAAAGGTGCTCTGTCTAGATCATGTTCCCCCCACTGACTTAAACAATAGACAGAGATGGATCTGTTCCGCCTGCTTCATATCAGATGTTAAGTGCAGCTTTGACTTTAACCCCAACTGCCTAAAATATGGAAGGCAATGCAGGGTGTAATTTAGCCAATTCTATCCGGTTCAGCCAATCTGGTAGCAGTGGCGGCGGAAGGCTCCGCCCACTCACCCAAAGTCATCACGTCCTGTTTTTCACCCTCTGCGCATGCGCGGAACGTCCAGTGCATGTGTGGAGGTGGTGTGTGCGCACTCACATTTGCATACCGGTAGCGAAGGTAAGTTGATTTCACCCTGCATTGCAGATATAGTACGGTATGGTAAATGACTCACAAGCTCTTATCACCAGATTCTATTGGTTTATATAGCTTGTTTCCCACTTGGCAACTCTTTTCATTTAGCTGCTCTCTACCTAAAATCCCCATGTCTTCCACAATAGCCTATCTATGTTGAGGGAAGGATTGGGAGAAGGAGGGCTCGTCATGCCCTGTTGGGCTATAAAGCTCCCCTTGGCTATCTCTATTCTCTGCTTCTGCCTGGAAACATTGCTCTTACACTTGAGAAAGCCGTACCAGTTTTCTTCACTCTGTTCAGTTGTTCCCTGCAGGAGCCTAGTTGAGATCTTCTGATGTTTTAATTTGATTCTTTAGTGCAGTGGTCTCCAACCTTGGTAACTTTAAGACCTGTGGACTTTAACTCCTGTGGAGTTGAAGTCCACAGGTCTTAAAGTTGCCAAGGTTGGAGACCACTGACTTAGTGGAGTCACTGGTGCTGAACAATGGTAGAATCTAGCAAAAAAAAAAACAACCCTCCCCTTGGTCTTTCCCACCACAGAATTGTTACTATGAATGTAATGGTACTGTTGACTCCACAAAGGGTCGTCTTTGAAAAAAGGAGGCTGGCTTCCAATAGTGAATATTCTAAACTACAAAGAAGCTGCAGCAGCTCTTTCTGCTAATGGGAACTCGGTGATTTGTGATGGTTGTGTCTTAATTGGGCACGTGTACCACCAGAAAACTGCTGTCTCAGTGGGCACGATGTGCTTTACCATTTTGTGCTACTGGGGTGCAGAATTCATTAATATGCTTATATGTACATTAAGATACATATAAAAAATTGACCCAGACTAAGAGCCATCAATATGTGAATTCGAAAGTACGGTGTAATATTGGCACAGTAGTGAAATGGAAAATTGAACTTGATTCAAAATAAAACAAATATTAAAAACTGGAACAGTTATATAAATAATTAGGAGAGATTAAAGACACAAGCCCTTGAATTTTTCGAATATTATTGCTCAGCTGACTTGGAACAGAGCAAAGCATTCATCTGCTTTGTGCATCGCATTAAAAGTCCAGTCTACTTTATTATTTGTATTAATTATTAATTACTTCACTATGATTTGAATAAATCTCCATTAATTTACTCCATGCTGTACCATGAGCAGTAATTTATCATCCACAATTGGTCCACAATCCCCCAGTTTCAAGTATAAGAATAATTCACTATTACTTAAAAGAGAAAACAGACTTGCTATAGGTACAGATTTCATTGTTGCCAATCTATAGCAAGAAAAACAATTATTTTATTGGCACAGAAGCCAACCTGAATCTGCTGTTGTTAGTCAGATGGAGCCTCTGCAGAGAAAGATCAGAACTGGTTGTACTTAAGTGGTACAGACAGTCAAAGCCCTCCTATTGTAGACTCCCAACTGCCGTCATCAGATCAGCTGGTGGAGGCAAGAATTGGCATGAGGAACAGCAGTGCCTTTATTGCTAGCTCATCTCGTCTAAATTGGGACTTGGAATATGAATGTGCAGGAGAGGAGTGAGTTTCCTGGGGCTGGAGTTGCTTTTCAAGATGTAATCTCAATGGTTTTAACAGGAAGGATAAAAAGGCAAGGAAGAATCTATTTCCTATACCATATTTATAAGAAGATCTGTAATCTTTTTATCTCCTTTTGTTCAAAAGTGTTGTATACATGCACACTTTTTCATTTTTATTTACCCAAAATAAAAGCTGAGTGGTTTGTTCCAACAATTTACTTTTAAATAGTTTCTTACTGCTGAGAATAGAAATATAGATAAAACTTGGGGGGGAGGGGTGTCTAACCCTTTTTGAGGATGATTGTTTTAAATTTAAAGTAGCAGGAAAACCATGTGAGTTGTATTCTAAAAATGTAATTTTGGCTGCTCTTTTTGTGGTTTATATTGTGATATGTCAATCAATCTTTATTTGGTCATAAACAGCAGATATTTTGATGCAGTAAAGATTTGCAATGGAATTCCCTTTGAATTAATATCTAGCATAGCTTTAAGCATGCAAGAAGTACACTTTGATATTAATTTATTCCCTTTCTATTACTGATGTACTATAAACTGGGCCAGCTGGATCTCAAATTGTTTATCTCATTCATTAATTCACTCAAAAGAATTCTCTGGGTCACTATTCTGGGCAACTCACAAAATCATAATAAAACCAACAGTCAAACCCAAATCCTGACATCCTAAAACAATAACTGAACTCTAGCCTCACTTCATCCCAGTGGTTTTGGGAAGAACCAGCTTTTTAAGGTCTTTCAGAAGGTTAGAAGAGTGGGGACCTGCCAGATCCTTGGGGAATGGTATTTCACAGGAGATGCTCTTACCTGTGGCTGGTCACCTTCTCTCTTCAACTTTTTCCAGCAACTCTATTGGCATTTCTTGCATCACTCCACCTCAACAGACAACAAAGACAAAGAAGTCCATATTTTGAACAGAGAGGATCGCTGGTTTGAAAGNCTATTTTCATACCTCGTACTTCAATCTGAAGTACAAATTGAATCGGATGTTAAATAATTGAAGCAGTTCTTGGACTTTCGCCCCAAGAACAAACTGTTGAAAGATGGATAGCGAGAAAAAAAACCACGACGCCACATCTTTTAAGCAGAGCCGCGTCCGCCCCGCCGCGGCCCGCAGGAGAATCCCTCTCCGAAGGAGGGGGTGGGTAGGAATGGGGGGGGAGAGGAGGAGAAGACGGCGCCATCTCCTGAGAGGCCGCCGGTTATGTCACCCGCTTGTGGCTCCTCCCTCTCCCTCTCAGGCGGGAGGGGAGCAGTGAACGAGGAGGCACTCCAAAAGGGAAGCCAGAAGCCTTCGCGCCTGCGCAGTGCGATTTCGCGTCTTCGTCTGTAAAAATCTCTCCTTCTCCCACCCTCCCCTTTTCTTCTTCCAAGCCCATTAGGGCCGCAGCGGTGAGCCCCAGTGGAGGATTTACAAGTGGCTCCGCGACGGAACGGAGAGCAGCTGCCAAGGCACGGAGCTGACCGGGGAAGTTTCGGCTCGGCCATGGGGTCCTGAGGGCCTTTCCCCCCGCCCGTTCCCTTGAGCCCCGGAGGGTCGGGTTCCCTGGCAGAGAAGGGAAGGGGAGCGGCGGCGGCGGCGGCTACAGGGCGGCTGGTGTTTGCAGTGCCTCGTGGCGGTGAGGGCTCAGTGGGAAGCCGGAGGGAGGGATGGGGAGGAGGGATCGGCGCTGAGATGATGGACATAGCGGCAGAGCGGTGGCCTGACTCCCCCGGGTGGGGAGGGGAGTTTGCTGCCTGGCACTTGCAGCGGTGTTGACGGGCAACTGGCCGCGATAATTCTTATACTGAGTGAGTGAGAAAGATGTGAAAAAGCGAACGGCAGCAAACTCCGAGATTGATGGCGCAGGAGGATGGGAGGTCCTGGGATACACGTTGGTGATGCCCACTTGTAGTAGAAATAGCTGTGGGTGGTGAGTAGGTCTACAAGGGGATCAACGTGGCACCACTGAAAAGTGGGTTTGGAGTTACTTATCAGCAACATGGCCTGGACTCTGTTTATGATAATAAGAGTATGAGTTTTACAGGTAGTCTTCAACTTATGACCACAGTTGAGCTCAGAATTTATGTTGCTAAGTGAGAAATGTATTGAGTGAGTTTTGTTTCTTTTTTTGACTTTGCTTGCCCATTTGTTAAGCGAATCACTGCAGTTGTTAAATTAATAACATGGTTGTTAAGTGAATCTAGACTTTGCTGGTCGAAAGGTAAAACATGATCACATGACCCCCGGGACACTGCAACCTTATAAATGTGAGTCAGTTGTCAAGCATCTGAATGCAAATCACATGACCATGGGGATGCTGTAACCGTTATTTGAAAAATGGTCATTGGTCACTTTTTTCAGTGCTGTTGTAACCTCAAACGGTCACTAAGCAAACTGTTGTAAGTTGAGGACTACCTGCACCTATACAAATTGACAGCTCAGCTTTTTTTTTCAGTGTAGTTAAAGCATTTATAGTACAGAATAATTGTTTGTCAGAGGTGCACCAAGGTTCTTAAGTACATTGTGTGTAGTTAAAGATGGGTACTGTGCACTGTAAAATAACAGTAAGTTCTGATAGGAATGGTTGTGGGAGAAATGGCATATTTAGTGCCACATTACTCGATGGCTTGTGTGATTACCTGAATAATTATGTACATTTCATATAGAACATACTTTGCTCTTTCCATCTGAGAATTTTCATGCAAATACTAAAATTTGAAGGGTCATCATTTAAAAAAAGGAAAATGTTTATATAAGTTAGCATGCTAATTTAGAAAAGATTTTCCTTCTATCTTTCCACTAGTTGAATCTCCTACCTTTCTCATCTTCTATAGTTTCAGTGCTATTGATTATTTCCTTTGCTTGAGATGGGAATCATGCCATACTTTTAATTCACAACCCCATATTTCAAAATACAGAAATGCCTATTATTCTTACTAAGTAGAAATCTATTGATTATGTAAAGTACAGTACATAATACCCTTTATATTTCATAGTTCAGTAGCATATCTTCATTTTTTCTAATTTTTATTATCAGCTAAATGTACATCAGTCTTTTGAAAAGAGTAAATAGATGTTACTGTATATTACTGTATATAGTGATAAATTACTTTTTTATATATTAGAAACGAACTCTAATGGTCAACAGCAGTAATCCCTTAAAATTTCTGCCAGTGGTATCATAGGATGCCAAGGAGACAAGACAATAATGAACTAATGAAAACAGGATTTAAATATTTTTAAAATTACTTTATGCCTATCTAATTTGTTCTTGAAGAATTACAAGTAGAATTTCACTTCGATTTCTGTCAAGATAATTAATCCTGTTTAACCCTTTGGGAGTCTTTTTAAAAAATAATCTGTAACTCTCACAATGGTTAAATTGCATTCATATTGTCAATTTATCAAAGTTGTACTGTATGTTTCAATTAGAATATTAGTGTCTGATGTAATTTGAGTCAAGTTTTTCTGCCTTGGGGTTTTCATTTTTTAAAAAGACAAACTAGTAACAGCAAAAGTATTCATTGCAGGTTAGTTTTGTTTGTCAGTGCAAATGCTGAAGGAGAAGGCAACGGATTAGCTTGTGTCCAGGGAGTATGAACATGAAGACTTGAACATATAATGCAGCATGGTGATCATTTTAATCACCCCTGTGGGATGCAATTTACTGGAAACAAATAGGGGAGGGGTGAATTAAAAACCAAATCCTATCTGCTGTACAATATTATTTTAAACATATATTAACTATTCTGCTCACGTTATACAGGAACATTTAGCTTTGGCCATATATTGCAGGTTAAGGGCATTTTATGATGAAAACTATTACCATCTATATGAAACTATGTTATGGAAATAGCAGAGGTTATACAAGTAGACCTCAATTTACAACCACAATCGGGACCAGAATATGCAGTTGTGAAGCAAGGCATCATGTGACTGGACCTGGATTTATGACCATTATTACTGCACCAAATCTGGATTCCTCAATTGACTTTTTGGACGCCAATTGGGAAGATTGTAAATTTTGATCACATGACCATAAGGTGCCGCAGCTATGGTAAATGCTAGCTGATAGTGTGTCAGTCATACAAGTGTAAATCAAGTACAGGCTGTCACTTTTCTGAGGCCATCATAAGTTTAAACTATTTGTTAAATGAACAGTCAATAAGTTGAGACTACCTGAAATACTCTAAGGCACGGGTCACAAACTTGTGTCATGTTGCTGTCACGTGATGTTTTGCAACATTTTTCCCATTTGCGGAGCTGGGGTGAGGGTGGCCTGCCCGTGATGCATCTGGCCCATCGGCCGCCAGTTTGACACCCCTGCTCTAAGGCATGCTTTTAGCTATTATGTTCTGCAGCAGTTCATATTTTCAGTTTCTTGCATGGGAGGCTCATCTTTTATATAAAGATCTTTAATTAAATACTGTACATATTGAAAATTTAGGCATATAACATTACTTTTCAACTTGTATTTGCTCACAGACACACCTGTCTAACTTTCTTTTATTTGGATTAGCCCATTCCACCCATATTACTTATTTCTCTTTTTTTAACTTTCTTTCACTGTTCAGTATTCAAGCAATCAAGTTATTTTACATTATTATTCTTCCTTAGAATTTTACTTATTTCTGTTAAATACGTTATGCAGATCAACAGTGAAAGCCTTTTACCATGAAATTCTTTTTTCAAGAGAGCTTTTCTCCTCTATTAACTTCTATTTTTCTTTGGCGCATGTGTTGGGGGGGGGATTGTAAAATATATGTATGTGGTATAGTCAGGACATTCTTTTTTGGGGAAAGAAACAGGAAATAAGTCAAAAGGGAGTAGTCTAGTTACAACTTACTACTTTTCCTTTGAATATATCAGACAAAGGCTACTGTAGGGTGTGTCTATTTCCTAGCATCATTATGGCAATCTCTATTCACAGTATTAAGAAGAAACGAAACAAAAACTGAATGCTGCAAGTAGAAATTAATTTTCATAAACTGACCAAGTTAGAATGGAAATGGGCATAGTTTCCCCCCCTCTAATTCTTCAAAATAATATCCAGTTATTTTTGAGATGGATCAAGTAAATGGATTTGCATCAAGTTATTTTGAATAATCAAATTCTCTAGTTCTAGTTACAGAGATTTTTATCAGTGATAAAACATACTGTGGTAATTAGTTTGTGGGAAATAAATCACAGGCTTAAGATATTGATTATGTCTTTAGTTATAGGCAAGCAAGAATTCAAAAATGTAAGTTTTAAGCCTCCTACCTGTCCAGATGGAGAAGAAAAGTCAATTTTCTCTGCTATTCAGCACTACATAGATAGATCCTCCACTCACTCAAAAACAACTACCACATCATCTATACAGGTAGTCCTCGACTTATAACCATTCATTTAATGAAGTTACAGCAACACTGAAAAATGTGACTTATGACTTGTTTTTTCACACAACTGTTGCAGCGTCCCCAAGGTCATGTGATCAAAATTTGACTGCTTGGCAACTGTTTCATATTTATGATGGTTGTAATGTCCCAGGTTCATATGATCCACTTTCCTCTGACAACAAAAGTCAGTGGGGAAGCTAGATTCACTTAACCATGTTACTAATTTAACAACTGCAGTGATTCACTTAACAAGTGTGGCAAGAAAGGTCACAAAATGGGACAAAACTCACTTAACAATCGTCTCTTTTAGGAACAGACATTTTGGCCAGCACCAGTTCAGGGGTTCCTTCCCCCCTCCCCCAGGGGGAGGGGGAGAGAGAGAAACAGAGGGAGGCAAAGAGAAAGAGAGAAGGGGAGGGAAAGAAAGAGAAAGAGAGGGAAGGAAGAGAGAGAGAGAAAGAGTGGGGGAGAGAAATGATATTACAAAAATGTAATATTGTTGCTAAATGTAATATTTCAAAAGCAGGGGGAAAATGAAGGGAAATGAAAGCGCATTTATCACATTTTTCTTAGAACAATTAATTGAACTCTGTGTTTATCATTATTTTAGGTAGTGAAACCTCATTATTCAGGTTAATTTTCAATAAATAAGTGGGCTTTGGATTGCAGTTTGGACACTCAGTCCCTAAAAGGTTCGCCATCACTGTTTTAGAGGGTCGTTGAGGCCACTTGGAGGTTTATCTCTGTCCTCAGGGTCAACTGAGTAGGGCTTCTGGTTCCTGTAATCTGCAATTGGGGCTCAATCGTAGTCGTACATCAAGGACTACCTGCAATGTTTCTTTGATCCATTTCTTTGATCCATTTCTTTGATCCATGTAACAAAGGGAAAATACTTCTGTTTTGCTGATTTCTGCTACTAAACACTGAAGGTTGAAAAAAAAATTTTTTTGCACTATTTCATTCAGGTTTGGTATCTTTGACATACTCAGGGTCACTGAAAAAACCAGGGACATGCAGTCACTAGAGGCAAGGGAGGCAGAGCCTCCCCAGTCTCCTGAGAGAAAGGAAAGAGNGCATGTGCAGAACAATTTCCATTGAACTGCACATGCGTGCACAGCGCGCATCCAATGCACAGCACACATCCAGCACACAGCATGCATCCTGCGTGCGCATGAGCAAACCGGCAGTAACGCTGGCCAGAACCCACCCCTGCACTATTTGCATGAAATTCAGTTACCTACTCTGAAATTAGATGCTT